AATGCTGTGAAATTTCGCTTATCATATCGTTTGAATTATTAATTGTGTGAGTTTCAATCTAATTTCAATCGCTTAGGATTTGGGACGTCATTTTTCCATTTTCGATAGAGTGAAAATTAATTATGAATATTAATTATCATTGGGTCCATAGCTAAAAAAATCCGCGATAACAAAATCCCGTTAAAAAAACTCGGACCAAAAAATTCCGCGGAAAAATGGCGCGTCAAAAAGACCCGGTGAAAAAAAAACCAAAAATATAAATTGGGATTTAATACGTTTTGGGTGTGTGGGCTTTTTTTTCCTTTTCTCTTTCTTCTTCTGCCTACTGTTTACATCGTAATAAACAAGACAACCAAAGCAATGAAAATACAACTAATCCTGTAGACAGACTTTCATAATATTTTTTAAGAGGTTTAATGTTTAAACTTTTATACATGTTTTCTTTTAATCGAGTTTTCTTGACGAGTTTTTTTAAACGAGCTCCTATTATGATTAATTGTCGCGAGAGAATTATTTTTTTAATTCTATAAGATACTGATGTCAAGTAGTAAACACAGCCTCCTGGACCACAGTTTTCCTTTTTTTTAATTATACTTTTTAAAAACTCAATTACGGTTTATTTTCTTAAATAATCATATTGACCCTTGATGGCTGATGAAATGCAATACGATTTAATAAACCCTAAGAAATCTGCCCTGGACCTCACCAAAACGTCTAATCCCCCACAAATGAAATTCTTCAATCCATAATTGCCCTATTACTCCATTCACCAGTCCTCCCCGAAAGAACAATTGCACCCGTATTGTCCTTATTACGACCAAAAGCCCAATCTTTTTCATCTTCCCCTTCTCCTGTAAAGTTCAATGAAGCGTTCATAAAACGTATTGCCTATATTGAGCGATAAATTGCGTGCCTGAATAATCCAAGGCCCAGTGTAATCGTTATTGTTTTATTACGCTATAACATATATAGGCAGCAGAGATATTTTGAACGAAACGATGGAGACTGGTGCGTACATTACATGCTTCCATGTGTGTGTCATGGTAATAGGTATAAAGGAAATAGGGGATGAGGTTAAAAGAGAAAACAGTGGGAGAGAAGGGGATCCTCTGGCCCATCGTTTCACCGCAATTCCGCGAAGTATGCAGATCTAAGAATTCAAATGGCCATCCTATAGAGACCGTAAAATGGCGGACAATCGCGCTCGTAAACCACTATATTAAAATTCTATATCGTAGCGTGCACGCCCGCTGTCCAACCAGTATTATACACCCCTCAAAATCCCTCGGTCTCTCTGTCTCACCTTCCGAAAATTTTGTGCCCATCCTATACGACAATTCTCAGTCCTTCCATCCATCTCCCATCCCATACCACTTTTAACCCATGATTTTCAACATCCAACGACATTTCAACCATGCATACGTCATAAGCCTCCTGCTAAATATACACCACGCCGGTTTTACCTTGAATTTGAGATTATTATTTACGGGAGGCTAGATTTAAATGACGATTATTTTCAGGGCTTCCCTCAAATTTTCATCACTGATGGCGACTTTTATGTTAAGGTACTTCAAAAATCTGATGAAACACCTATATTCCGCGTTGGTTCCGCCATTGCAGTTCAAGATGTTAATAAATCATGTGATGCAGGAAAAACGGTCTATATGCCAAATATATATTATTATACAGTCAAATATGCGCTAATAAATTGATTTGATATATATACGCCGTATATCGAATATATTTGCGGCGTAATGTTTTAGCATAAATATTTTTTCCGGTCGAAAAAAAATGTGCGTTTTTGCGACAATCTTAAGAAGAAAAGGATCTTGTGAGTTGAGTGAATTTGTCTGAAATTTGCACGGCACTTTTAGGAAAATTTAATTAATATCCAAGTTCTTCGATCACTTCACGGACTTCCCAATATAGTCTTTGAAAATGTATGCTTCCAGCTTTATACAATTTATGATAGCTTTATGAATTGATGAAAAAAATCACTCTAAATTTATCGATTTGATAAACTTAAAAGCTACCTTCATCATTGCGTGCTTTTCATATTAAACCAATAATCCACATAATGAACAATAAATTAAAATAATGACCCAAATGAAGGAGGAAATGAAATTTGAGATTCGTTGGTTTATTATTTATCAACTGATGGCTCCCGTAGATTTGCTGGACACGAGTTAGTCTTTGTTGGAATTATTCAATTAATTTTATAAAGATATTAAGAATGGAAAGCCATCAGGCTTTTTACATCTGTCAGTCCAGCTAAATTTTCCAACTCACGACACAAAAGTCACACGGCATAAACAGATGGCACGCCCCGCCCGACACTTTCATTAATAATGACTGTTATCAGAAAACATCAAAGTATGTGGAAATTATCTGATTTAACGTTTTAAAAAATATGGAAATGATTTCTGTACAGTTTACTCTTCCACAAAAAGAATTTAAACGAACCACCATAACGCTATTAAATTTATTGAAGAATCCGGCTTGTTCACTGGTCCTCCTGAACATTGAATGTCACTATAGGGATATCAGACACCAACCCTTCCAAAATACTAGTTTACCCGAAGAACCCAAAGCGCCACAACGACGAGAGGCTGTAATGCGTTATTAATGAACACCAAGAATTTCATTAAAGATTGTTTGTATATCAAACTGTCCACTAAATTATGCCCCACAACCCTTGGCATCCCCTTCCACTTGAAAACTATTGGCTACCAGGATTCCACATAGGGTACCAAACATCTCCCCACAAAACCCTTCATCGAAGTTGTTAAATAATTACCAGTGAACAAAAAAATTCTCAACTTTTAATTTATTTTAATTCCTCAATTGTTGGGGTTGAAGCACTTTTATTGGATGAAAACAAGTGGATAGTAGGAAAATAGCCTGAGCCAAGTCAGTTATTTTGCGACCTTTCCTGGGGACATACATTATTAGTAGGGATAGCTTGGGTAACCCTGGTGGTGTGGGTATAGAGGCGTTACGGGTTTTCGGGAACGCGTGCGACGTGCTCGAAAGAGAGGGCACCGAGTTTTCGAGGGTGAAGGGGGTTGCGAGGGGGTGGCAGAGGGTGGCAGAGGATACAGTTAATCGTTGGGAAGCTATTAACTTCGGACTGGAATGCCCCATAGCGCCTCATTTCGTTCAATGCAAATTTACATCCCACACTCATCCCCCTTCATATACGCCTACACCTACATAACAACATTTTAGCTGCATCCATACTCTCTGGCTTCCCTTTATACCCTTCAACCCCCCCATCCCACCCCCTCCCTACAAATAAAACTGCATACCACGTGTCTTAATGTGTATCCGTACGATGCAATTTATGCATTTGATCGGACTAACAAAATTCACGTGCAATAAAAATCAATTTTTCCTGGAATGAAAGGAAAATTTTTATATTTCCATGAATACCTTTTTTGTAGCCCTCACCCTTTTCTGCCAAGAATATAATTACAATAATATACTATTTTGATTCATTATTGACAAGAAAACCGTTCGAATATCTGAAATTAATGTCTTCCTGAAATTTAAGATTTGGATGAGAAATATTGAATATTGAAGTATTAAACGTTTTACCATCATTGATTAACTATTTATCCAAGCTTTTCAATTACAGTATTTGTGAAAATCGTGAAAATATTTGAAAATATTTGTGAAATATCCTATCAGCTCAAAAACTTTGCAAACACGAGGGATCTCTCCCTACTGATAGATTGTACCATATCACCGGGTAGTTTCAACAATGTAAAAGTTTGATAAATTGTAACTGACACCTTGTGACTCACCTCATACCAGTGTACATACACCACTTGTTTGTCACGATGGAATGCGGGTCGTAAGGTTGACTAATAATAACGTCGTTGTGCTTGTTTTACGTGTATCCTTTCGTTTACCATATCCACACGCAACCCGAGAACCTGTCCGTGGTACTCTGAGACGACAATGATAACGCATAAAAGCACACCAGGATTTAACGTTGGTTCCTTAATATGGACAAATGCATGAGTATATATCAGGGTAAAATGTCCGGATGAAACGTATGCTTTGTATTTATTTGCACAGTGTTCTAGAGATTTTGTCATTGTAATGCGCAGATATTAGGGTCGAAACTTTCGCGATTCCTTACAGGCATCATAATACTAATTAACTGAGACGTCTATTTACTCGTGGTAATCACAGAACGGGATAATTGGATTAAATGCCAAACAACTAATAATTGATTTGATTTAATAATATGAAAAACTAGTTTGTTCCGAACTCAGACAATTCAGGGAAAATTACTAATGGAAAATAGAAACGCAAAAATATTCAAAATTGTCGTTATTTTTTAAATAATTTTTTTACACTTTGAAAATTTCTGGTACTTCGACTAGTTGCCATGTATTGGCATCACTCAATAACCTATCCTATATCATTGATTAATCCTAAAAAAGAAAGGGATAATATTCTGAACATAAGAAAAAAACACGGATAGAAAAATACGGGAAAAAATGCGTGATTAGTCACGTAATCGTGGGCTGAACATTGATTTCAGTCATTTTTATCTAAAATCATGATAAAAAAAACGAGACGGTCAGCAAATTTTACTATTTCCTCCAGAAAATTTACGAAACTGTCAATTTTTTTTTTCAAACCCGCAAAAGTTAGAGTTTTAAATCCAAAATACATCAAAGAACGTAAAGATTGCTCAATTTAATTTAAATTTTAAACACGTAACCTCAGTAACCGCTTTGATAACTAACGTCTTGATAGGGTTTCTAATGACGATCGACACAATAACAATAACAAACCTCTGGCGTGTGGGTACAATCCTTGCCTCACATGCCACAGTAAATTTTACGGAACTAATCGGTAAATTTTCCTACCCGCGTAGTACTTTTTCCGATTTCGCCATTCACCCATGTTTACGTTTCAAACAGTATTTTTTACGAAACTTCTCACGTACTTCTTCCAGTATTTTTCTCTCCATGAACAGATAATTCTTTTTAGTTCTATCGGATTTATTGATTTTTTATGAAACTAAATATGATTATAATTGTATAAAATTCACAAGTATTCTTTCTTCAATATCACTTCTCAAGAAGATACATTGTATAAAGCTCTCGTTCCTTCTCGCTCTGGAATTTTGGTACAAAATTGATCTTCACGATTTCTGAGAATCCCTCGTCCATACTAGGCTCCACGAAGTTCTTCCTGTAAGTTTTCACATACGCGTAGACAGATAGTCCGAGGAAAAGTCGGAGATACAGGAGCAGCAGTAGCTTAATGAATCTGGTACAACGCCAAACTAATGTGGAGTGCGTGCCACTAGTGGAATATACCAATTGTAAAATTCACTTCTTCAATCTACATTGTCTAAAACTGTAATTTTTATCATCATGCTAAAGCCCACTTCCTAATTCATTTCCATATTTTCCGTTCTATGCACTTTTTACTGTTAATCCAAAAAAATTGCCCTTGTGCCTCCGACTCCTTTAAATAATTAAATAAAACATTTACTTACACGTATGAATTTATAATAATTTCACTAATAACCATATGACTTGGATCCGTCAGTTCCCTAAACTGAAACATAAAATAAAAGATTCGAAACTCATTTTCAATTCTGTTGGAAATTTAAAACGATAATAAATCCATATTCTCACTCGGTTGTTATGCTTCGCATGTTCAACTGAGGTCTTCATCAGAAAACATCTGACTGGAATGTTCTTGGATTTGGCAACATGAAGAAACCTTTGCCTTGATGTTGGATCCGGATTCGTATTGTCAATTACTACACTTTTCCCTTTGGATAGTATTTTTTCCATTTCTGCTACACATTTCTGCCAACTTCCTAGTCTGTCTCTATTTATGTGGTGATAATCCTTAAGGTAATTCTGTACTACGTGGGTCTTTCCGGTTCCTGGTGCACCCACCATGAGAATCACCTTTTTCCAATAGAGAAAATTCATTATTAAATCTGTTAAGAGTTTGAAAAATCATTGTATTCATCTTTTTTTCTCACTTCTTGAATTTTTGAGGATAATTGAGCTATTGGCGGATCGCAAACATCAGCATTATCTTCTACTCTTTTTGGATCAAACACCGGTAAATTGTACTTCACTGGCTTCTGTCCCAGGAAATGTTCTTCAGGCGTGTAAAACGTTAAGTCAACATTCAAGGCAAATAGCCTATCGGCCAGAGAGTGATCCTTCTTCTTCTTTGGTGCCCAATCTTTAGGTCTTCCTGCTGCATCTCCAACGAAGAAAGATTTGTCCTTGTCAATGGGCACTCCATCGTTACACTAATATCAGAATTTTTATTCAGAATTTCCTCCAAATTCCAAATTCATCATATAATTAAATTTCCCTGCAATTAAAAATTCTTACTCTACTTACAAATTTAACTAATCTATCCCACATTCCTGTCACCGGTTTCCTATAAGAATCCCTTGCAGTCGCAATGAAAACCTGAAAGGAATAGGATATTACATCAATTTCTATAGAAAAAAACATTTGAAAAAGTATTCAAATATCAATTCGATTTAGAAGATTAAGGGCCGGGTGGACTATCTATCGAGCGTCATCTTTTATTTAAATTTTATCTTTTTAACCTAAAATACATAAAAATTTGGGATAAGTTTTGAGGTCACGAAAATCACTGGAGTTGGCATAAAAAAATAATGAAAAAAAAGAGGAAAAAATTTTGAAGGGCGCTAAAGAGCGATATTTATGAAAAGGGATTTTCCAGGTTTACAAAAAAATAATGAAAAATATGTAGCATGTATGTCAAGTATTCACCACACAAACCAAACCCTCCACTGAATTGAATGCAGCTACAGGCAATCAAATGCTGCAGATTTTTCATTATTTTTTTGTAAACCTGGAAAATCCCTTTTCATAAATATTGCTCTTTAGCGCCCTTCAAAATTTTTTCCTCTTTTTTTTCATTATTTTTTCATGCCAAATCCAGTGATTTTCATGACCTCAAAACTTATCCCAAATTTTTATGTATTTTAGGCTAGAAAGATAAAATTTAAACAAAAGATGACGTTCTATAGGTAGTCCACCCGGGCCTTAACGGAATAAAAAATGTACATTCTAAAACAAATACGCACTTGGATTGGAACTGCCAGTCTTTTAACAACTCTCTCAATCTTTTGTTTGAAATCATTAGGTTTGGATTTCCCCAATCCCAACCCTCCCTGATTTGTAAAAATAACAATTTTATATCCATCCGAATGCAGCTCCTTCAACTTTCCAGGTATTCCCGGAAACAGAATCTTCCAGTCATTGAGATCCTTTGGGAAGACCAACCCTGATTGCGTAGTTATCAAAGTTCCATCCATGTCATACGCTGCAATTTTCGATCTGGATTGCACCCCCTCAGCAGTAAAAATCATCAACGCCTGTTTATCCACATCTTCCCAAGTTTCATTATGAATTGTACGTGTTTCTTCGTAATCAATATTTTCAGGCTTAGATCCACTTGGCACTGGACTCTGATGTTTCGTTCTCACTTTTTCAAGGATCTCCCGCGATGTTTTTTCGTCGACATCATCATCAGTATCCCTCACCTCTTTTGACATTTTAGCGTCGCAATAATCCCCTCTAGGCTTTTTGTTTAGTGTAAACTCTTGGCTATCTTCTGATTCAGTGTAAGATCGTTTCTTAGAATTTATTGACTCCTTTCCTATATCAGACGGCGGTGGATTGAATTCTATCCTGTAAGGATATTTACCGTAGAGTATCTGAATAACGTCTCCATGTTTTCCCAAATATTTTTCATCCTTTTTCGTCTTACAGCCGTTAAAGCCAGAGGGTCGAGCACCAGTTTGGCACACGGTCACACATTTATCCGCATAACTTGCACACAAACGAACTGATGAAATAAAAAGAAAATCATAATTCTTGATATTATTATTATCTACTGAATGAATAATAAAATTAGAATCAAATTAACTCCATTTGATAGTTTGTCAGATCTCGGGAAATTTCAAGAGTTCTAAATAATTTCTTCACCGACAAACGAAAATCAATGAGTACTGATTCGAAGCAAAGCCACATTTTATAAAGGAAATCAAAATAGGATATTACGACTATTCCGGAGACGAATAAATAATGTCCTAACAATCATATTTCAAATACAAATCCAATAAATTGCCTGAGTCAAATTAAAATTCACAGAGACACAGAAATTTCTTCAAAATATATAAAACCATCTTGTACTGTATTGTTAATGCTCAATAATTAATCAAATCCGATTAATTGATAAGATACCCTATCGAAACTGCAATGCAACCGTTGCCCACGATTTTCGTAGCAAACAAGATAATAATTTTTACAATGAAGTAGATAATATTCTCATAAAAATAACTCATTATTTCAATTTATAGTTGAATGGGATTTACAAGTGTCGTAATCACCTCTGCAGTGCAATAGACCGAAAAAAAAGACAATAAAACTGTAATAATTCATAATTCAATAGGAGAAATCAAATAGAAAAAACATAAATCCATCTATTCCCACCAAAAACACACTAATGTCACCCATAAAATTTAGGTTATGAATTCACATCTGCTGCACTAACCTTGATTTCTCGAGCACTTTATATCCGTTATTTTCGTATCAACATTGCGCCCCACAAAAACAGGTTTATCATTAGGTAAAAAAATTGCTGAATTTGAATTGTGATGATTGCATATGTAACAACTCTTCACATTAGTACTCATGATGTCATAGCCGGTTGAAAAACACGTAAATTTATCCCCGGGAAATTCTCCTCTTGAATCCCTTGAATCGATAGCAGCAGCAGATGGCGCTATTTGGTACGAAAAGAAAAAAATTTGAATTCATGGCAAATCTGACCGGTGGGGTCGTCACGTCATTAAAAATGTTAAAAAAAAATATGACAAGACTGAAGATGTTTATCTGTCTACTTAAGAAGTGTGGGCAGGGGTGGTAAATGGTAATGGCAGTTCCTTGGGGATGTCTTCAGAGGGGTAAAGAGAAAAAGATGTAGAAAGAAGACTGGAAATGGATGTATTCACATTATACACCCTCTGTTCTTTTAATTTCTCCAAAGCTTCACCCTTAGATCCCATTCCACGCCTCTGGATTAATAAGGCGTCGACAATGTGACGTCTTTTTTTCTTTTACTCCAACGTACCCAGGAGCTCTGTAGCGAGAGAATCACTCCAGTGAAAAGTACCTCGAAGGGAATGGGAAAAATAGTGAAAGGATAAGAACTGGAGATGATAAAAGGAAAATATATACTCGAGTCTCTTATAATTCATTCTAACATCTACTATATATTCTATATATTCTACTTTCAAATGGTTAATTATCAATGAAAAATCGATTTTCATGAGATGTCATCTCCAATTAATAGATTGAAGTATAAAATAATATATGTAAGATACATCTTAATGTAAGGAATTGGTGTCCACTAACTAATTATTAATTTGTTCAATTCAATTACAGACACTGAAGCCAACGGATCCTCCAATATTCGAAATCACAAATTTGGTGATCAACGAAACTGCAACTCAACTTGTACTCTGGGGAAATCTTGGAATAGTCGTAGTTGAATTGCCAAGGAGATGGGGCAAAGACAACGCTTTTCAGAGTGGGAAGAAAGAGATATCTTGCGTGTGAGTATATTATTTTATGCGCATATTGTGAATCTTCATTATATTGATTTGTATGATTATTACATCATTGCATTGAATATATCTCATATAGATACTTTTAAATTCTACATTTTTAATATTTTGAGGTTTGCAATTAATATGATTATTAGTGGCTGAACGCAATTTACTTTTCAAAAGTTGAGAGTTAGACAAGTGCAAACGTTGAATACTAACCGCCTCATCAACAACACATGCCACACACTTAAAAGCTAACGCGATCCAAGGAGTATAGGTACCGTTTAACACAACCCTTCAGACACTTGAAGTCATACAAAACGAGTCGTAGTCATCCGAATCTTAGAGGGTGATTATAACGCAGGAGCTATTCAGAGATATTTGGTATATCAGAGATAAACGTTATCGTTTAAGTTCACCCTTTTGAGTTCATGGCAAAATTCGAATAATTTCACACCTCTATATACAAATGAGGGCTTTAAATAAATCCCCATACTCAAATGAGTCATCTGAATTGTTTGAGCAATTTCCAGGACATTTTTTCCTTCCTAATTTCAATTATGAATAAATTACCCGGCCCCAAGCGCAGTTATAGAAAAAAAGACAGTGTATTGGCCGCCATTGATTCGATAAATTAACAATTAAATGAAGAGAAATATTTAGTAAAAATTACAGAACTTTCTGTTCGTTTACCGATTACGGAATCGATATGAAAAATTTAAGCGCCGGTCTCGTAATTTTTCATAGATAATTCAGATAAAAATTACGGGACGCTTCCGTGAAATTTCCTACAACTACATTTTGCTACAAGATTACGGAAAAGACACATAATTTTTATTGAATATTTTTCTCTGTGTAGAGTTGGTAGCTTGAGATTTTTCTGAACAATTTTTAGGGAATAGTTCATTTCTGATAATCCGTTTAATCATAAAGATTTGCTGAAACCCATAAAATAAAAGTTTCTACCCACTGAATTATCCAAGAGCTGAGATGTCCAACAATTAAGCTTGAAATCTTACCCAGAACCCAGCATAAAGGATTTATGCAAAGAAAGTTGTAAACGTGTAGCTTTTTGAATGTTACCAAAAAACTTTTTCCCATTATTAAGTGTCTTGCTTGCACTTCTACTTCCTTGTCCCCCTCACTCCCCTTCTCTTAAATTTCCGTCACAGTTTTCTTCCCATCCAGAGGAGAAAACTGTGTACACAACTCTAATGCATACAGTACACTCGGAAATACGTCATCGTGTAGACAGAGAAATGTAGTGTAAGGTCGACCAGTTTGTAAACAAGTTGTGGTCATTAAAACGAATCTTGGCGGATTTAATGTCCAAGACTTTCGAGCTTCTCACCTTTCTTCTCCATTCTTCTTCTTTCAATACAATAAAACATCTAGCACATGTACAGAAACTCTTAGATTGCAACAATTCATAATCAACTTTAATTTATAAACAGCAAACAATCTTCTATTTATAAATTAATTAAAGTCTTTGAAAACTTCCAATTTAACAAAATTTAATTTGAATGAATTTTAAAATAATTTTTGTCACCGAGTGCGCTATCGAGTATTAATAATCACGTTTATTAATTTCTGAGAACCTAGCGTAATTATTTTCGGAGAATCTCAACAGCTAAACCCGAAAATTTATAAAATAAACATTGCCATTGTATCTCCGGAGCCCTTGAAAAAGCCACAAGCACCAAAACGGGCCGGCAATTGCAAATGCGAAGATTCCAAGCGTTGAGATTTCTCGGATTAACCAAATGGCGGCAATAATGGCGATTATTCGGCTTATGATATCAGACCGCGAAGTGGCTTTTGCCATTCCCCGTTCCCCACTCCCTTCGCCGTCCACTTTACCAAAAGAGCCACTAACTGCACCTAGGCGTCGTCCAAATCCTGACTCCAAGACACCGGATTAAAACTATTACCACCAACCACCACTCCCTCCCCATTGGTAACCGGGGAGTGACTACCCACCCCTTGCCACCCTCTACCACCCTTTTACACCCACTCACACCCCACAAAATAGTCTCTCTTCTATTTGGTAGTGTCCTAATTCTTTGCAGCAACCGAAACTACCTCTGCTTTACGAGTTGAATAAAGACGACTTGGTAATCCCCTGCGACGCTACCACCGCTCGCGTACAAACCCCGTCAGGGGGTTTCCTAAAAGCTGATTAGCTTTTGGCGCTTGGACCCACTACTGGTTATCCATTCATCTACACACATACACTTACTTGCTTTGATAACCATCCAACTCACGATTAACTTCCATTAATGAATAGTCAAGAGCAATTCCCTTGCATTTTCGTGGACTGGAAAATTCATGAAGTTGATCTCTACCATCAACTTCGTGCACAGCTGCTGAAATTTTACATTCAGCCAATTGTCAGTGTACGGATTAAAATATTCAGCCACAATTACCAGAGAAAAGGGTATATTTGGAAAAATTTTGGTTTTCCCACAGTAAATACTTCAGTAAACTAACGAAAAAAAAATCTATGAGCAATTATATCTTTTGGTATGCACAAATATTTATCCTAGATAGCTTCTAACTTTCCTACAATTTTAATACTTTAATTGGTTCAATAACGAAATATGCTTCTCTGATATCAATGCGTCAGTTGTTGCCTTCAGTACTGGTGTTTAAAAAAGGATAATTGGACTCTCGGTGGTCACTTTGGGCCCCCCGGCTAGTTTTGCAGCTCCTGATTAATTTGACCTGATTAATTTCTCCTGGTGTAGTGAAAAAACGACAGGAGATACGAGTGAGAAAGAAAGGAAGAATTCATCTAGGAAAATGAAAAGAGGAAAAAGGATGGCCGAGGTGGAGGATAGCTCTGGGCTCTCGGCTCTCTTCCTCCTGCCTGAAGCTAATTATTGTTTTAAGGATTACCGTTATGTGTTTATTATGCGAGAAACGTTCCTATCTTTATCATCCACGTAACATTTGGTAGAATTCAGTAGCTGGGTATTTTCATGGAAAAGTGGGAGATGTGGAATAGCAACACAGCCAAAACCAAATCCCACTTCCAAGTCGGCCTACCTTTATGAATAATTCGAGTATCTTCTTTTTTTGCTTATGTGTGGAGAGAAAATGTGAAAGATGCTTTTCTCTGTCTAGAATTTTTTTTCTTCTTTGCTTTATTTCCTTTATTAAATGTCTCATTCGAATCGAACAAAATTTTTCGTATGAGATTTTTATCTTATGTCAAAAACGTAATTAGTGCAATGAATAAACTTTGCATCGTTACTTGTTTTACTAGAAATAATTTCAGTACATCACTTTCATCATGTCATAAATTAATAAATAACATGACTGCATTTTTTGTCATCGGGAAATATGGATAGAAATTTTTTTCCTGCAGTTACATAAATCAGTCAATAATCCCCCAGAATCCACAAACACTGGAAATATTCGGCAATATTTTTCCCCCTGAAAATAATTAACCATGGCTTCCTGGCGGAAAAATAAAGAACGATGTGACGAAAAAACCTGGGGAAAAAGAGATTGAATCCAATGTACAAACAGAAAGTTTGTGTGAGTATTTCATTTTCTGCACGCACCCCTCATCTCCATCCACCCTCTCTCACGTTTTTAAAAATGATTTAACCTAATGGTTATACATATGTAATCCCGATATAAACCAGAGCTAATCTCTGGCGACCACACACCGGGTTTACTTGTAACGACATTTCATATATTCACCCGGTCAGTCCCTTCCCCACATTTTTTACTCAACTCTTTCACACATCGTTCAATTTTTTCCAGATGAAAAATGGAATGTTTTCACCACATTTAACATGGCCTCCGAGTATTTATGATATTTTAAATCTTTTATCTCTTCAAGTTCTCAAAATCATGAAAATCATTATTACCCAGTCCCACCCGATCATTGCTCAATTATAATTATATAATCATGCATAATATATAAGTATTATTTACAATTTTTATGTTATTCATTTATTTAAAATTTTTGCAATGAAAAAATTCCGCTGACACCTTAATCAACAGACTCATTTCTATTTAAACCTATTTCCTGGAGAGAAGACATTTTAAATACACGACACGCGTTTGCACTCGAGCCCTTCGCCCTTACTGTACCCCATTCTCTTTCACTCTTTCTCGGTTAACGAAATAAAACTCAACGACGAAAAGAGACATCTGTCGGTTCTTTTAATTACAGTTGTACGTGTTCAGAAATTATGCATAATCGTCGTCTTGTTCCCATTTTGTCTCCTTTTGTCTCATTTATTTATTTCCATCTATTCTATTATATTTCAGACTTGAATAAAAGTTTAATGAAAAATATGGTCAATTAAATTTGAGAAATAAATTCATGGGGAGCGGAAGGGAATGAGGAGGGGAAGAGAAGGGGGAGTCATTAAATATACCCCACCAAAAAGCATCCACAGTGTCTAAGAATTAACGGTCTTAGTTAGGCGAAGGTGAGACCGTCCTGGTGCATGAATTACGACGCAAAGACCATCCGGGATATCAACGCTGGCTCTGCCTCGTTATATTATATATATTTTGTGCAACATCCCGATTTTATGGGCAAAATCTAGGAGGTACAAGCCACGGTAAAAGGGCACAAACTTCCCTCTCTCCTCTACTTTCCCCCAATTTCCACCCCTTTCATTTCAAAGCCCAATTGGAATTCTTGCTTGAATTCTTTTACTTACCGAACTTCTGCGGTTCCTGTATCAAATGTACTCTATCGTAATCATAATACTATCAATTACCTCAGTATTTATTCATAACTTTTTACTTTCTTTTATGTTCAACTTTTTTATCTCAATATCAGCGGAAAAAATAGCACAATGTAATAACTCCATAATTCAGTATAATCGGTGAGGTAATCGAGGAATTTATCATGTTTATGGAACATTTTCAATTAATTCTATGAAAAAATATGGTCATTCGCACTCGTCACTCGATTCAACTTTACAATTGCTCTGACTTCAACAAAAAAAAGGTTTATAAGATTTTTATGTAAAACAAATCAATTAATTGAAAACATGTAAGATGCCACATGTACACTGAGAAAAAACTTGTCTTCAGCCAAAAATATTTACTAACCACAAGAAAATATATTTGCCATTAGTAAGTCTTATGGGAGTATTTACACAGTGATCGCCAGATTTACTGGTGGGAGGAAAATATTCTTGGCAAAAATAATTCTTTTTTAGCGTATTATCGCCATCAGTCGATTCCTTATCAGTTTCAGTGAAGAAACATTGAATGATGTTATTGGTTCAATGAAATTGGGTGATTGATCATAAAAATCGATTGAAATGTCAGTTACAGGTGGGTTAACGAAGTTTTATAGTTTAATCTATGGCATTGGATTATCATAATGGCCCCTCGTTATGGCTCGTTCTATACCATCCACATAATATATTATATTCAAAATAATTTAATATCACGTCGTCTCGTGCTTACGTAAGTACTCCCAACTCTCTTCGCTCTTTCTACATTCACCGAAAGAGCTTGAGTGAGAGGATTGTTCGGTAAACTCTCGTTTTACACTGGCAACTCAGTCACGAAGAAAAGTCCACAAGCCTGAAGTGTATCTGCACCAGAGACGAATAACATATAAAGCACAGGTGACGTCTCATCCTCGCGGTTTACCCTCAAGATGAATGTTGCGAATTAATAAGTCATTTATTCATTGTTTCATTAACCCAAATTTAATTTTAATTCATTAATCGACGATGCATCTATAATTTGCATCCACTCAGATCGTACTTTATTATTTGATTAATAATTATACAATTGACCGGATGCGATTACACTATATGTGAAATATTTTTCTGCCATCATCTCGGCGGGAGAAAAATCATTAATTACCTTTTTCTTGGAAAGTATAAATATTTCAAGTATTTCTTATTCCTATAGATATCTCGAAATGTTGAAACAATTAAATTTAATGGGTTGCTTATAAAAAAAACTTCTGAATCCTCTCCCTCCAATTTTTCTAACAAACTAAAAACTTCTGGAAACTCAATAAAAAAAAACAGAAGTAATTAGAAATATGACTTGGTGGCGGTAAATGTCCCGTGACACCTAGGATAATCGTTTCGACTTTCCGGTGTTGTTCTATGCTTTTTGCTCCATTCCTGTTCCTCACCTTTGAACCCTTAACCCCATGGAAACCACAAAAAATAGGCAGTGGAGGGAAAAAGAAATGCTGAAAGAGTTGGTCCAGCATTAATTTTGATGAATATGAAAAAATTTCATGGCAGAAGAAAAATTTTGGTGTTCACGATGTAACAGTAGTCAGTGGCTGTGGTACTCCATGGAAAAGTGCGAATAAATCGCAGTAAGCTTTGTCACGGAGTGCGCTCTTTGTTCCCCGCCCTTTTTTACCGTTTTTGATGTCCAACGTTGGACTGGGAAAAAAAAAAACATTTGGCTGTTGAAAAAAAGTGTCTCCATGTGCGTGCATACATTTTTATCAATTATTAAGAACCCCCTCAGTTACTCGGTACAGAGGTATCCCCAGTCGAGGCAAGATAATGCATTGTAGGTGGTGCGTTAGCTGACCCGTACATGTGCATCAATCACTGGACGCAGAGAGGACATTAATAACGTCCAGTATCTTTGTCAACAGTAAAAAAAAGAATTTCTTTTTTGTTGTTGCAGGAATCACAATTTGACGGGTTACAGTTCACAGTTGGCGTCTACAGAAGTCAGGAGAGTCAGATGGCATCCTGGCTCAGCTGACGATTCTCATTTACTTGTACTTACGTCGGAAAATACTTTTCAGTAAGTATTCCATTCGTTATTTTTTAGCAAATTAATTATGGCCATACTTGGGGGAATTGTAGAGGAGCTATATATTTTTGACTGGGTTATACCATGATGCACTGTTGAGAAGTCCTTAAAATTTCAGTGATACAATTATCTGATTTTTTAATTATATGAGTTTTAATTGGAATTTAATTAATATTGGATATGGGAGATATAAATAATACTATAAAGCCGTGGATTAAACTTAAATTCTTTATTCTCAAAAATGGCACGAGGAAGAAACGTCTGTACTCTACGGAAATCTCCAGGAGACTAAAAACTAATCACAAAGACGAGAAACAAATCCGTCACCTAATGAATGAACCCTCTGTTCCTTCTCCTCAGAAATCATTGTTAATGTTTATGTAGCCTCTCAAGTGACTTTCAGTCAACATCCATATCGATTCATTTTTGTAACAGTCACTTAAAGAATAAATTAAACTCAATAATCCAACAATTAAAATGGGCTTTTCGATTTAAATAATTGATTTTTCAATGACAACTTGAATTTTACCAGGATATTCATGAAATTAAATGATGCTTGTCGAGTCAATGAAGACTTGTTAAATATTTCAATTTTTTTAGCTAAAATTTTAAAGGTAATTTTCCAACAGTATGTAAAAAAAGATAATTAGCCACAAAAAATCATATATTTCTAAATATTATTGATATATGTAATTGATCGTCTCATTGTTTCGTTAAAGATTGTACGAGTGTAAACTGAGTGACACTCCAAAATTGATTAGAAATTGGAAAGTTGGACCAACACCAGCATTCTCATCCACAACAATCGCCAACGTTGAAACACTTGGAGAGACTGCAGTTGACTTTGACTTCGCTACGCCAACGATAAAATGTGATACTGATTACCACAGCATTAATGACTGGAGCAAAGTTCAGTGGCCAATTCTCGTACTCCGTGGAGATGGTGATATCTTGATGGTCCACGATAACATCCTCTCGGGAAGGTACATCACTCCAATTTTTCGCATAATAATTATCAAGAACTAATTGACTTATTTTATGCATTGACTTGCTCATCGTTTCCAAAAAAATTATTTAAAAAATTATATAGAATTGATATGAACGGATGCAATTTTTTAGTTTGACGAAACCAGACGTAGTGGGTGCATTGACCATCTACCCACCTGCTGCTGATAACTATGGACTTGATTCCTGTTCAATAATGTGTCTTCAAACGACTCCGCCGGTTGTTGTCATTGCAACCGCCACCGGAAAGCTCTATCATGCACTTCTGATGCGTGAACCTGAGAGAGAGGCTGATGAGGGCAAAAGTTGGTCTCAGTACGGTTCCACTTACAGCCTGCACACACCTGACGATGCGTTATTCGTCTTTGAAGAGGTCGAAATGGAGCTTGGACTTCTGTTTACTGATACTGATAAGAAGTTCAGGTGTCCAATTAATTTACACAGAGATAAAGGAAGCAGACTGAGGTATGTTAAATAAAAAATATTCTTCATTGGCAGAAGTAGAAATCACGTCAAACCCAATGTTTCGAATTTTTTTCAGATATTTTTGCTCACACAACGCAGGGATTCATATGGTCACACTACCAATGATAACACAATTAAACGACTACGTCAATGCCAATGAAGGTATTCAAAATTCAGACTTATCCCATCGTCAATCCATTCCATTTAATTATTCAATCCCTTTTCAACATTTCTTTAAATTTCTCTATTCCAGAAAATGCCGATCTCAATTTACCCAGTTCTCTTCTACCCTCAAGTATTCAGTATTTACTCTGCACCAGAACAAAATATTCACATAATGAGGAAGCAACACCTGTTCTTGGATTCGGATTACTCCATCAGCCGTGTTCAGTTCTAATTTCCCTGCTTTATTCCGGCGTGGTTGTTGACTTATCAGTAGTTGACCTAGATTATATCCCTAAAATTGATTCTCTAGAGCCTTCAGTCAGCTCAAGTAACAAGGTATTCTCAAAAAATTTTTCTCAATCATTCCATCAATTTTCAACTCATTCACTTAACTAAATCCATCAACCTCTCGATCCTCGGTTGACTTACAGATAGCTAGAGAGCCCTTTGATACTTACATTAGAAATCTTCTGAAACATGATTCAGCATCTCAACCAATTACAAAACTTGGAACTGTAACGAAACCCTCAGGAAAAGAATATTTGGAGGTAAGATGATGTAAAGAAATAGTTGATATACAGACTCTTCTATATTGAAATGTTCATAATATATTCTAGCTTTTATATCGAGCAATTCATGTATTCCGTACCAATCACTTCGTAAAGCACGATAAAGTTCATGCAGAAATAACTAGGAAAGTTCGTACATTGAATGACTTGAAGAATCATCAATTAAATGAGCTCGATAATTTAATGAAAATAAGAAAAGATCTGCAATCGAAGGCAGAGCAATTGGCGGAACGTTATGAGGATATCAAGGATAAACAAGAGGAGTTGGCTAAACGGTGAGCACAAATAATTAATGTCAATTGCGATAAACACATAAAAATGTAGATTAAAGTGCTGAAAAGTTCAATTCGATATTTTTGTATTTCAATTATAATTATTTGCTCATGATGATAGTTTTATATTTTTCTCTATGAATTTCGATCAGAGCCGAAGAATTACTACGTCTAGTGAATCACAAAGAATTATCCAGTGCTGAAAGAGCTGATGCTACTGAATTGAAGGATTTGAATCAGAAAGTATCGAAAGAACTTGCTTTTCGCCTCGAACAATTGAAGAAAAAAGTCGAACAACAAAAAATGCACATGGAGGCCTGCAAAAAGGAGGAGAAGAAAAATTCCTATGTTCTCAGTGCAAGGCAGGAAGAAGCTATTAAGAGTAATATTGCACAAATGTACGTAATCATTTAATCTTCTCACTTCTTGATCCGATTACACAATTGCTAATAATTAATTTTATTTCCAGGGGAAAAAGCATCGCACACATGATTGCCCAAGTGAAAGCCCTTGAAGACGAACTAGATATTTAAATAAATATCTTTTCTTTTAATTTGATCATATTTACTGTAAATTTCATTTTAAAAAATACTGCCAGTTTCCGAATAAAGAATGAATTTTCCATTATTCAATTTATGGAGTGATCTCCTAATTTATTCA